CCTTCAACCACTCCTTGTCCCTCTCTACCTCCCTTCTTCCCCTTCTCTCTGCCATTACGAGACATGACCTTTTGCATCTCGAGCTTGCCACCCACCCTTCCTTGTTTTGCAAACAAACAATTGAATGCCAAAACTACAGATAAAATTGCTAGTTTCAGGTTGGACCCCCCGCATGCTGCAAAAAACTACACCCTCTTAACAAGACCCCCCTTTTCCACAAAGAAGAACACACCACCGAGAACAGAGCTCAATCAAATTCTGCAGGGTAACCAGCTGGGTATAAAGTATACCCCGACCGCGTCCTGTCTACCTGCTTCTCTCTCTCCCCTCCCTCTTTCTCTTCCTTCCTACGTCTCTTCCATCCTGCCTCTTCGCTCCCTGCTATCCATTCACCCTTCCTCAACACTTCAAAAAGATAGAGAAAGACAAGAACGAAGAACACTACGTTGCAATATCTGCATGTGCACTCCACTACTGGACGAACACAGATGTACGCTGAGACGGTCTATCAGACAGAACTTTCTATGTTGGCCACATGCTGCCATTCCATATGAGGTGAACTGTCAAATAATGCAAATAAAAAGCACGCTTGATGTGCACTCCACGATGCTGAGCGTGGACCACATGTCAAAGTGGGGACACCCAAAGCTTGACCAGCAAGCCGTTCTCTCCGGAATCAATTCTGTTCTGCACAACTTCTGCTGCAACTAAATCAACTCCAATCTGCTCTGTAGAACACGTGCGGGCACATATGTCGGTCGATACAGGGAACCAAAACCACTTCTCATGTTGGCCACATGATGTGGTCCAGGCCTGTACCAGTGAGCCATTCCAAAGAAAGCCTTTATTTCTGATGGTGTATGGCACCGGATGCAAATGCAAAGACACCTGGGGTGAGTCACAGATGGGAAAAGATAAAACTCCACCACCAGGTAATCTCAGGCCAGACTCTTCTGCAGTATCGTAACTACTCAAAATCTAGTCCATAGGAAAACTTCTCTCTCTCTCTCTCTCTCTCTCTCTCTCTCTCTCTGTGTGTGTGTGCCTGTCTCTCTGTCTCTGTCTCTGTCTGTCTCTGTCTCTGTCTCTGTCTGTCTCTGTCTCTGTCTCTGTCTCTGTCTCTCTCTCTCTCTCTCTCTCTCT